GGTGGGGAGGGTGGGGCAGTGCCCTGAAGGCCTCCGCTTCCGTTTCCTAACCCTGCAACTAACCGGAGCCAATGCCAAGGAGTTGAGTCAGGGGAAGGGATGTAGGAGACCTCCAAAATAAAAAGTAATAAAAACAGAGTTGATCCAACCCAGAGCCAACCAAGCACAGTATGAAAAGCATACATGAATACCATCAGCCAAGAGCTCTCTTTCCGCCTAAAACCCAGCCTACAGCCCAATGGTTGGCAAGTGTCCAGGGCTGGAAATGAATGGAAGGACTGGAAACCACTGGTACCTGTAAGGAAAAGAGACTAACAATTTTTTTTAAATTGTTCAATTGCTCTGTCTTTGGGCTCTTGATTGCATTAAAAAAGTGAAAAGTCATCTGATGGGGGTAGGGTAGGGGTGGCATTCAGCAAACCTGTCTGCAGTCTCTAGAAGTTGGCTCAGCCATGCAATGACCCCTCCGCCTAGGAAATTTTGATCCCACTCAAGCATTAATGGACTTAGTGATTTCTGATGAAATCAACCCTTTAAATTTTTTTGCAAGGTAGACTTTTCCTTGAAGCCTGACTGTGAAAGTGGAACGGCCACCTATGAGGTCCAAACGAGAGCATTCAGGCTGTAGACAGCGTCAGAAAAGGAGAAAGAGGGCTAGGCGGGCAGGCAGGAGCCACTGTGGGAAGTAGAAATCCAGAGTCTGGAAGATACGTAACCCAGAGAGTCTACACAAAGTGCTTAGCTTGGTGCCTGACACGCAGAAAACAGTGTTGTTCTTAAGCCAACTGTTGCTGCTGTTGAAAATAAAAAGCTGCTTCTTCAGAAAACATATTTGGATGCCAGGTACCTCAGTGTCCCAGCAAACTTCAACATCAAGCTTAAAGCAGCTAAAGGGGAAGATACTGTTAAGTCGATAAGGGTCTTATTTCAAGAGTCAAGACCCTTTATTCCTGTTATAACTGAAATCGCTTATTGAAGCTTCATCTTCGTGTGTGGAGCGAAGGAAAATTATAATTTTTTAAATCTTTTTTGTTTCAATATTTCCATGAAAGTAAAAGTTGTGAACTCCTTGAAGACAGGTTCTTTATGATCACCATTATGAATCTTTTCTTATCATTGTATTTATATCAGATATTTGTTTGATTGTGTTTGATTGTAGCCTCTCCAAAATGTCTCATGTGTTTGGCTTCCGGTACCACTCCTTGTTCTTATTAAAGTTTCTTTTGAAGACTCTTACTCAATCCAGATGGCTCATATTATGCGTTTGCCATAATTTCCCATGAAAGAGCTTGGACCCCAGAGCCAGGCTGATGTGAGTTAGAATCCTGACCCCAGGACGGACGTATCAGCTGTGTGACCTTGAGCAGTCATTTAACCTCTGCAGTCCTCAGTTTTCTCATCTCTTAAGTGGAGATAATAATGGAGTTTACCTTTTTACTATTATTGGGAGGATTAAATGAGATACTGCGTATAAAGCACAAAGCTTGGCATGGTGGTGCTTCAAAAATGTTGGCTGATATAATTATTATTATTATTATTAATCATCCTCATCATAATATACTCCTTGCTAGACTTAAGGCTAATACAAAGGTGAATGAGAGAGATCCATGCCTTCAAGAATCTTGCAGTTGATTAGAGATAATATTAATTCACTCATTTAACAATATTTATTGAGTACCTACTGAATGCCAGGAGGTACTGTCCAGGTATTGGAGACACTGTGCGCTCTGCCCAGCAGGGACCAAAACAGGCAGATTTCATGGCTTTTATACTCTAGTGGCTACACATTTAGAAAATTGTATATAGCCTAGGATGTAATAAGTGGTCTATGAAGGGTACTCAACAAAATATTTGATCAGGTGAGGCTTTTAGCATTGGATCCTACAGTTAGTAGGTGCTCAAGTGTCTATTAAATTGAATCAAACAATCAAAAGCACAATGAATGAAAGGACCAGATGAAAACTGATCCCAAGAGCAGGTGTAAAAAAAGTTATAAAGTTGCTGTTTCCCACCCCCACCCCTCATTGAAATATCAGAAGCATCTCCGTTTTACTCCCATGCTTTGGCTGAGTTACAGGCCTCATAGCGCATGGCAGCGCGCTTGCTAAGTCAGAAACCACCCTTCATAGCAAGCTCCTACATCACTAGTATGTTCCAACTTGCCAGTGCAATCATGGGTTGAACTCAGGATCTGAGTCATCTGTAAGGCTTCTGCACACCAGGTACAGGATGACAGGAAATAGTATCTGGTGTCTTCTCACTCGGTACCAGATAACTAATACCTCAGCCTGATTTTTGACAGCAGCCAGTTCCCAGAAAGTTAGGAAGGTACCTGGGATTCATGAACACAGGCCAAACTCCTAATTGGATGGAAACAAAGTCTGAGGGTAAGAATTTGAAGTTGTTGATCAGGACGCTCAGTCCTTACCTGATGTGACATTTACATAAATCATTTTTACCTTAATTTCCATCTTCTCAGTTATTGTGTTGTTTGAGTGTTCATTAAGCCCTTCCTGTCTCTTCAGGGCTGTCAGCTACTCATCTGTACAGGCTCCGAAGTCTTTAGGAGGAAGTGACTCCACAAATGTCTATAATAAATTTTTATATTTATCCATACATGCATAATGGGTATGCATATATAATACACACACAGTTCTCTGTTATAATTTGTAGTTTGGAAAATTAGAAAAATACAGAATAGAATAAAGAAGAGGAGAAATTACTATTCTGCCATACAGATAAGCATAGTTAATGCTTTTAAGTACACTAATACCTTGGTTTGCGAGCATAATTCGTTCCAGAAAAAAACTACTCATATTGCAAGACATCACTTGTTTACCACGTTAAAATGTATTAGAAATGTTTGCTCGTCTTGCGGAACACTTGCAAACCAAGTCACTCGCAATCCAAGGTTTTACTGTATTTCTTTTCAGTCTTTTTCATAGATAGACAGAGAGACAGACATAGTTGTGATAATGTATATAATTTTTTATTCTGGATTTTTCTGTTAACATTATAAAATAAGGATTTCCTCATAACATTAACAATAAGGATTCCCTTAAAAACTCTTAACCTCATTTCCAGTACCAGCAATAACTGAGGATTGAGCTTAGAGCTGTTCATAACTGAAAGCAGGTGCCCTAGTAGGGTCTGCAGTTCCAGGCATCCCTGTGCTTTGGGTATAACTGGTGGCCGTTGTCTAAACCTTTTCTGTCTCAGCACACCTGAGTGATAAGGGCAGGGAGGGTATACTCGTATGCACTAGTAGTTTAACTAGAATCTCCAGGTAGTCTGACCGCCCCACCTCCACCCCAGCTTTGAGAATCACTGTGCTCCTTTTTCCTCTTCTCTGCTCAGTTACGAGAGAAGCAAGCCTATGTAGAGAAAGTTGAGAAGCTGCAGCAGGCCCTGACCCAGCTGCAGTCTGCATGTGAGAAGCGAGAGCAGATGGAGCGGAGACTGCGGACCTGGCTGGAGAGAGAGCTGGATGCACTGAGAACCCAGCAGGTGAGGGGCTGGGGGCGGGGCTGACAGCAGAACCCCACATATTCCTTCAGCAAGCGCCAGAGCAGAGCACCTGCATGGCGCAGGCGCTCCACCGAGGATGCAGAGGTAAGTGAGAGCTCCCTGTCCTAGCAAAGCCACACAGCGGCCAGTGGAGGAGCTAGGCGGTCCACTTGTTGGAGTGACAAACATCCTTACAGGAAGTGGTGACCCCGGGAGACTGGGCATCGGGGAATGCGGCTTTAGATGGCTTCAGAGAGGAGGACATTGAGTTGGACTTTGAAAGATGAGTGTGTTGGGGATTCCGGGGGAAGAACATCAGAGATAGAGGACGAGACCGTGTAAAGGCGAAAGGTGTGACACGGCGTGGCAGGCTTGGGACAGCGGGGTGCAGCTAGCTGGGGAGAATGCCCAGTGAGGCGCCGGTGAGTAGGCAAAAGCCCGTTTGTGGAAGACACTTGGTCAAGTTGAGAGTGGACTTTTTCCTGTAGTCCACAGAGCCAAGGACTGGGAGTTTTAAACTGGAGAGAAATGTGGTACAAGGGATTGGGGATAGAGCCTTCTGGTGACGTCAGGAGCATCTGGAGGAGTGAATGGTGAAGTCAGAGAGGGCGGGCTGAAGGCTGTTGGTACCGTCGAGGGTGTAGGGACAGTGGGAATCCACGGGGGAGCTAGTAATGGTATGAAGTTAGTAGGACATGATCAGCGGCGACTTTTCAGAGGTAAAGGAAAGGAAGGGGTTCGGGACTATCCCTGGAATATAATATTGGCCATAAACTCCTAGTTCTTCTGCCTCTCCTTCTTTCTCCTGGTGACAGTTGTTAATGGGATTCTGCTACGAATAAGCTCAGGGTAAAACGCCCCAGCTCAGGGTCCACGTGCTCCTCGGCAAGGGGATAAGTCCTGCAGGTCAGCTCTGCAGCTGGACTGGGCTCCGACAGGTCGGTCAAAATCTCCTGGCTCCAGAGAGCTCCTGGGCTCTTGTGTCATCAGCCAGGGCTGTGGGCAAAGCCCCCTCCGCAGCTGGTGAAGGGTGTGCCCTAAGTTGGGAAGCAGGCGAACTCCAGACAGGGCTCCATGGAATTATCTACTGGATAGGGCATAGTGGTTGTGGTTGAAACACTTGAAAACACTTGAAAGCGTCCACTCAGGCCAGCCCAGCCCTTTCTCATGGCAGGCGCACACAGTTCCCTCTGGGTGTGTGCACTTGGCTGGAGAAGGAGGTGTTAGTGAGATTGCCCAGAAAACTAAGAAACCCACCCGGCCTCCCACCATCTTGGCTCAGCCGATGGCTCGTAAGGAAGGGTGAGTCTGTCTCTGGACGTTTGTCCATCCCTGGCGCGGGTGGTCCGCCCTTCAGCTGTTCTCTGTTGTGCAGTTATTGAAATCTTAACCTCCCCAACTGGAAGGCAGGCTTCCCTGGTGCCTGGTAGCGTGCTCGCACCTGGTGGATACTTAACAAATCTTTGTCTGACAGAATGGCACATCTCAATACTTAGAGCAAAAAAGAATGTTTGTTTCCAGTTAATGTGTCACCCACATCCTATATTTAGATACTTATCCTGGGACCTTCTATTGTGAGTGCTATGAAACCAGATTCCATTCCATTATCCTTGTTTATCAAGAAGAAATGTGAAGTTAGAATTATTTGGACAATATCCCTATTGCCACAGAGGACCATTCACAGTCTAGACACTCAGACCCATACACGTTCACACCCGTTATTGCCTCAGACCAGCACAAACAACATTCCTGCTGTGCATAAAGACTGCTGGCCGATTTAAGCATACCTGTGGAGGACAGACGTTTCAGAACTGAGGCTCCCCAAGGAAATCACTCGGCTTGCATTTGGAATTTGGTTTGGGGGTGCTGATAGCAGATCCCCAGTTGTTTATGGCTGGCATGAGACCAAAGAGAAGGGAGACAATCTTTAGAATTACACAGAACTTTAACTCAGCATCTCTTTGAATATAATATTATAGTTTTTTTCTTTTTAAATGTGTGTGTGTTAATCCGTCTCCTATGATATGAAAGACACTTTAGGAATTTTCCTGTCGCTTTTGCCTACTCCTTAAAAAGATGAGGATTATTTTTATTTTTTCCTTTAATATCTCTTTATTCTGTCATTTTACCAGTGAGCATACATTAGTCTGCATCCAGAAAAGGTAAACATTTTAGTACAAGTAAATCCACCCCAAAGCCTTGAGTTTCTAACTAGTTCCATGTGGTGGATACTATAGAGGTTAGTGAAACTGCTGCCTGGAGCCCGAGGATGAGTGCGGCGAGTACAGAGGGATGACCAGAGTCCCCTGTCGTCCACTCTAGAGCGTGGGGTCACCGGAGAAAGTCGGCCTTTCTGGTACCGGTGTCCAGGGGCCTCTCTGCTCGGCTTCCTCCTCATTCACTCTCCAGCAGCACATGGATTCACCTGTCCTGGTCGTGCCCAGCCCACATGCACCCTGCTCCCCTCCCGTGTCACCAAGGCATTGATCTGACCCCTTTAGAAAGCACGCTGAGGTCACACTATAAGAAAGCTCCTAGTCATCTCCCCCCACCCAAAAAAGCCACTTTCCATAGGGAATTTTTCTAAGGGACCATTGAGAGAGTAGCTTAGAGCACTTATTAAGTCAGCACCCCACACAAGGGCTCTGCCCTTAGACTGATGCCAGGACATAGCTGAACCGCTCCACGCACATCCTTAGCAACACAGAACCCCCAAGTGAGCTCCGGTTATTCCTATGAGGTGCCCTAGAACCTTCCAGGAAGTGGGTAGACTGGAGGTGAGCAGAGTGGCATGGAATCGTGAATTGATTCAGAGCATGGGCTCCAGGGTTAGACCAACCAGGGTTCAAATCCTGCCAGCTCCTCCTCCTAGAAAAGCGACCTTGAGTAAGTAAGCTTTCTGAGCCTCAATGTCCTTGTCTCTAAATTGGGCAAATAAATGATACTCACCTTATGCTTTTAGCTACAAATAAGAAAATCTGCACACAGTGCTTACATAGTGCCTGGCACGTAGCAATTGATTAAGGAAGAATACTATCATTGCTGTTCTTATTGTTATTACCTTCAGAGCCATTTGAAGGCTTAGGGCATCTTGGTTCCCTCTCCCAGATTCCTCCCTTCCTCCAGCTTTTTCATTCTGCTGAAAAACAAGTGACAGAAATGTGGCTAACTGAGAAGGGGGTGGTTGGACATAGGTCAGGACACTAGGACCAGCAGAAAAGAGCACCTTACCACGAACAGGTTCTTGTCAGTGTAAGTAATCTCCCTCCACCCGGGAGGTGAGGGAGCACTTACGTCTCAGAAGCTGGGGGAGGTGAAAGAGAAATCAAGGTAAGAGCGAGGGAAATTAACACGCTTAAGAACTCACAATTTTATCTGTCTTGCAAGGAGCTCAAAGCAATTTTCACATCTTGCCCAGTAGTCCTATGAGGTAGAAGAGAGAAGGGGGGGTGTTGTTGAGGAAAATGAGGCACAGGGCAGCGAGCCCAAGGTCATTAGCTAATTAGGACATTCCTCTCAGGTAAACACATTGAGGGCAAGGATTTTACCTACATTTCTCACTGGGGTACCCCCAGCATACGGTACATGCTCCGTAAATATGTGTTGACAGGTGAATGGGCAGCAGAAGCTGGCCTGTCTGACCCGCAGTCTGTGTTTCTGGCCGGCTTACTTATTTGTTACACCATGCTAGCTCTGCATGCTTGAATGTTGAAATTCATGCATTTATTTAATAACTCTTAATGACCTGAAGTAGGTGCTCTATGAAGCATTGTCGTGATCTCATTTGAGGTCAAGAGGATTCTGCAAAACTAAGCTAGTTGAGATGGCAACATAAGGGATTTACGTAGATAGAAACTGACCAACACAGATGGCAGCTTAGTGAGGCTGTGGGATATTTTTCTGGGAAAGTTTCTAAGAACAGGGGAGTTTCTCGTCTCGATAACAGACTGGTTTATTTGTCCACCTGCCTGAAGGTGGTGCCTGGGGCGGGCACTGGGGAGTCAGTGACTTCCTGTATAGGTTGATGAGGACAGGTACGTGCCTTCTGCTCTATTCTTGCTTCAAGGTTGCTCACTGACAAGATCCTAGAATAATTCGTATTTGTAACTTTAAAAAATTGAATAGAAACATTTGGTTGACCAAAGCCCATGGGCCCATTTGCTTTTTTTCTCTCTGGTAGGATTAGACTCCATCAGGGCAGCTCCGATGCCCAGCTGTTGCTCTAGGGAATTTATGTGGTTCGAGGTAAAAGTACCTCTTACCTTGTAACCAGCTTTGTATTTAAAATTTGTGATCACTGGAAAACACGAGGGGAATGTGTGTCCCAGGACGTACTCGTAGAATAGCTGGGATGAAATCATTCTCCCCTACAGTCAGAACGTCCTCAAAACCCCATCGTCCTCAAAGTCATGCTGTTTAAAGGAAATAGTATACCTAACTTAAAAGGAAAAAGAAAAATCTGAAATACGAGTATCCTCAGCTTGTAAGCAGTCAAGATAACACAACTACTTTATTTCCTATCTTAAGACACACATGAAAAGACAGGGCTTAAAAATGAGCTTGACTTGCATTAAGGGATTCCTGGTAGCACTTTACGTTGTTTAGCCCTTTCAAGTTTATTAAATGCTTTCATATGTATCATCTTATTTGATTCTCAGGCTTCTACGCAGGGCAGGTGTTCATTTCTCTGTTTCCCAGCTGAGAGCACTGCAACCGTTAGAGCACGTTAGGGCAACTCACTGCCACTTCCTTAGTCTTTACGTTTTATCTCCCAGCCTCAGGGGGAAACAAACAACTGGAATCACTGCCTTGAACGCTGGAGAAAGTGCCCGAGACTTAGTTCCTGTTGTTAACTTTTGGTATACATTAACTGCAGGACATTGAACAAGCCGGTTCCTGTCGTGCAGAGCTGTGTGGCCAGACAGACCGGCGTTTGAATCCTGACCCTACGACTGATTAGCTCAGAGACACTGAACAGTTCATTTATCCTCCCAGAAGCTCAGTTTTCGCATCTGTAAAATTGGGATGATAGTGTCTGTTTTACAGAGCTCCGTGAGAATTACATGGGATAGAGGAATATGATAGCTTGGCGTTAGGACCCACTGAGTTTGGTCATCCATGCTGGAGGGGGAGCAAGGCCATGATGATTATGCGTGTGCGTGTGCTGAAGGTGAAGCACTTGTGCTCCTGTGGGGAACTGTGCAGATGGACATGGCGTATATGGCCTGCGTTAGAGCCCCATTTCAGCATCAAGCTGTAATTTCTCCTGCTTCTCCAGAAACACGGGGCCGGCTCGCCGGCCAGCATGCCGGAATACAATGCGCCGGCCCTCATGGAGCTTGTGAGGGAGAAGGAGGAGCGGATCCTGGCTCTGGAGGCCGACATGACCAAGTGGGAGCAGAAGTACCTGGAGGAGAGCACCATCCGACACTTTGCCATGAATGCCGCAGCCACGGCTGCCGCCGAGAGGTGAGTCCCACAAGGGGCATTCGTTCCGTCGTGTAAAGGACATCCACAGTGGGATACTGTGTGTTTGGCAAGAGTGATGTTGTGAACGTCCATTTTATGCGCCTTTTTAACAGTGGGCCTGTGTCATGGGCCAGACAAGAAGAATACCTAATCCTCGTAACAGCCCTGAGAGGAGGAACTGTTATTACCTTCATTTTGCAGGTGAAGAAATGAGGCTTAGAGAGGTGCAGTCATTTGTTCCCAGTCACACTGGTAGCAAGCGGTGGGACCACATGGCAAAGTGAGAGTTGTCTGACTTGAAGCCTGATTTCATTTGCCTTGAAATTGTTCTCTGCTGCTGTCAGTTATTATCCCTATTGCTTTCTTTTCCTCTTTGTAGGCACACAGCCTTATTCTTCCTTTAAATATTAGCTCAGAATGCTCAGTCATTCCCAAAATAATTCTGTGCAACTATACTCTTGTCTGAGTAGGCAGACAGTTCCCTTTGACGGCTTGGAGCGCACCTGCGTGTGCGACTGCTGCACTGGCTTCAGTGGCTGTTTATCAGTCAAGTTTCTCAGGGCCTGTCCCCCACACCCCACATCCCACCAGTTTGCTTTTTGCCCGTAAGCTATATAAGGGCCGAGTTGTTTGGAATTCACTAGAATTTAGGGTCAGTTTATCTGGAGATCCTCAAATTTCAAAGGAGCATCTATGAAACTAGATTTAATCAGGGCTATTGTACCATTTGGGATGGTAGGACCGGAATCAGGTGAAAGGAGTAAACACTAAGAATGTACCCCAATGTTATAGCCAGTCCCACGTTTCCTTGGGATGTTTCTTCTGTCTTTAATGAGGCAGAGAAGGCCCGTTGGGGTGGATGGGGTATACTTTATAAGCCATTCCCGGGTTCTCGTGCTCATTACTCAAGCACAGAAGAACCGCTAGCAGCACGCCCAAATGTTGCCTCCAGGAACATGGGGAGAGAGCAGTGCTGCCCACGTGTGCAAGATGCCTCCACTGGGTTCCATAACATGCCCACACCTAGAGAGACCTGCAGACCCATATGGAAAATGACCACTTTGAGATCATTTTCTTGTGCTCCAATGTTGCTTGTGCATGTCTGTGCTATGAGGGAAAACCACCCACAGTATTGCGTCTGAGTGGGCCTCCGGGAGTGGGAATAGACATTTGAGATGTGCCTTGTGAGGTAAAGCTCCCAAGTCCTTACAGGAGAGCTGCAGGAGGCGGCAGCCCCCAGTACAGTCCTTGCACTGTATGGGTGAGAGCAGTGAGGCTCTTAGAAGCATTTCTTGATATTTGCATAATTGCAATGTTTTTATTTTCAGCTTTTTGTTTTGTGAGGTAATAAGTAAATCACCTCTCTATCCTGAGGAAGAGAGCAAACCATCGTAAAGTTACAGAGGGATTTGGCCTTTTTTGCTAGCTTTGGTCTAAGGCATAGCTGTCAGTGATGCCCTGGGAATTGTCACTCATGTGGTTTATTAATGGGGAGAACACTGCATAGGGAGGCAGGACACCCACATTCAAGGCTTCTCCCACTATCGCTGGCTACAGACGTGTGATTCTGCAAAAGCCTTTCTCAGTGTCACTTCATTCAGGAATTTCTGAAATGGGAATTATAGCTCTTGGCTGGTTACAAGCAGGGAACCAGACCCCATTCCCCTGGCTGAGCACACTAAAGCCCCAATAGCAGTGTAAACGTTTTACTTTGGAAGCATGACACGGGGACCGTTTTGTGTCATTGTTGTCTCTGCTCCTGTTGATTTATCAGATTAGATGCATGTTTGGGATCCTGGGCCCTGAGAGGACGAATGGACCTGGCATGAAAAATCAGAAGTAGGGGGAATGAAAAGGTCTGAAGTGTGAGATCCCAGTAGTTGGTACAGGAGGGGACGGTGGGGGCATGAGTGGAACCAGACAGCCCAAACACCATCAGTCACTCACACTGTGCTAGTCAAGCCTATTTGTCATCCTTCGTGCAGCAGGAAAAGTCTCTTGTCCTCAGAGAATAGCCCTGTGGGATTTACCTAGCCCTGTTCTCTTCCTCAGCCCTATTTGGAGTCCTGGATGGACGGAGAGGGGAGGGGAGGGGACCATTTCCACCACTCCTCCCTTCCCCCCTTCTTTACTTTCACATGTATTTATTCAGCATCTAATAATTCTGTGAGGAACTACCCTCCCCCCTACTGACCACTCCTTTCCACAGTCTTGAGAAAAATCAGGTTTTTAGCTCCAATCTTAATGTTCTTTCTAAAGAAAAACTCTGTAATTGCAGCATTATTTATCCATTGATAGAAAGAGAGAAAAAGAAAGTGAAGATTCTTTGGGAAAGCTCAAACTTCTGAGCTCTTGTCTAGATACTAATAAATGGCTGCATATGAATTGTTAAAAGTGAGTATCTCCAGCCATTAGTTTTGTGTCTTTTCAGCCACAAATGCATACTTCATATTTATAAACAATGATTTTTAAACAAAGAAAATGGTTTTTGTATACCAACTGACTTTGCCATCTTGGTGTGTTTTGGTACCATTGATCATTCTTTTGAGAGGTTGGACCTATTTTTTATGGTTTAAAAATGTTGCACACATTTCAAAGCAATGTAATATATTTTTTAGAGTCTTGTGTGTTTACTTTCTAAGTTGTTTTCATCTAATTGTGCCTGCTGTCCTTACTTGGCAGTATAAACATGAAATTTTAAATTTGTTTCCGGCTCTGAGTGAATTCCAAAAGTAAATTGGTTGAAAACGTTTCTCCAGCCATAATTCCTGTATTTATGATTTTTTTGTGCACTGTAGGGTAAATTTATAATGTTCTTGGTATGTTTAAAGCATTATGCTTGTTTTCTACATTATTTGGCTTTATGATTTATTTTCAGCCGTGATTTGAACTTAAGCCACATTTTCTCATGTGCCCACTTTATTGGTTTATTTTATCTGCGTGCATCTTTGCCGAAGCCTTCTTCCTAAAAACAAAGAAAACTCCAGGAGCGTAGAATGACAGTTAGAGGCATGGACACTGTAGTCATAAATCTCTGGACTTGAATCCATTTCCACCTTCATTAACTGGGTATTCTTGCAAAGTCACCTAGCCTGTTTTTTCATCTGCAAAATAAGAATAATAAAATCTTCGCGCAAGTTCCTATGAGAACTAAATGAGATACTATTAATATATGTAACATGCTTTATACCCAGTCCCCAGCGCCAAGGAATTGCTCATTCATTGAAAGCTGTCATTAAAAGAGATGAAAGAAGGGGCTTTGTTTTGTTTTTTGGCTTTTTTTTTTTTTGCTCTTTTTGAATGTTCTAGAAAAGAGCTGTAAGATTTTAAATATGATTGTAGCATTGGAATATGAAGTTAAAGAGAGGAGACACATTTGGCTAGATCATTTCTTATTAATTTAGTATTCACTGATCAGAGACATTATTCTGCCTTTCAGTCTAAGATGTACTTAGATCACTTAGATGGCACCGTTATTTTATTTACCAATCATCGTTAATTAGGAGTGATTAAATTGCCAAAACCAGTGGCAGGAATAGTTCTCTTTGAGCAGTTATTTTCAGTCAGACACCTGCTACCAGCTACCTATGTCTGTCTCTCCCTAACTCCACCTCCTGGACTTGACTTTCTAAGGACAGGGTGTGTGTCTTCTTCATCTCTTTGCCCTGCCACCCAGCATGGCTGTCACACTGAGCAGACCTGAGTCCTAGGCAGGGGCCCGTAAAACAAGAAGTGAACTAGAATGCAGGCGTGAAGGATGATTTCAGGTCGAGGCTCTCTGTCCAAGAGGACCAGTGTCAAGTGTTTACTGAGTCTCCATTTTACTACAAAGTACTGAAATAACTACGATGTGGATGAGACATAGAAATCAAACTTTTAACTCAGAGTGAGAAAGGCGGGACGGATAAGTAAGTATGAAAGAGTACAAGCATCAAGACACTAATAAATGCATTAACAAATGCAATAATCGTATCCATATTTCAATAGGTGTACAGTGTCCATATTCACAGCATGCCACAGAGCTCGGTATGCAATGTCGTTAGTAGAAGGGGCGGGGCATTTTTATTTTGGATTTTATTTTGTTTTTCTTAGATACTGTCTTCCTTCTCTCAAGCTGAGGGAGAGAATTGGCCAGGACTTAGGAAAGGGAAAGCGGGGGAAGGAGAGTGCGGAGAGAGATTTTTAGTGCGGTGCCCTGGGATGCCTCCTGGTGGGCATCTACATCATTCTCTGTGTGTGTCCTGTGTTTCTAGGGACACCACGATCATCAACCACTCGAGAAATGGCAGCTATGGCGAGAGCTCGCTGGAGGCCCACATCTGGCAGGAGGAGGAGGAGGTGGTGCAGGCCACCAAGAGGTGCCAGGACATGGAGTACACGTAAGGGACCACCTTGTGCGCGGCAGTGAGTGGCCAGCATGGAACCTCGTGTCACCAGGCTGGCCACTCACTGCCAGACCCCAGTGACCAACATTGGCGCTCACTCTCCAGCCCCTGCCAGTTCTGAACAGGATGTGAAAAGAACTCACAACTGTTTTCTGATTCTCATGTTTGGCCATCGGGGGAAAACTTATCTTCTCCCAGAAAGCCATCTTGTAATTTTATTTTCTCAGAAAATAGGGAAGTGGATTTTGGTGGGAAGCTCAGCCTGTGTGAGGCATCGGGGTTTCTGTGCTTCCCGCTGCTCTCCTGTCCCCACAGTCAGGGATCCTAAACCATCTAAGCTGGTCCCTGAGCACAACGTGGTCCAGGAGGTCCCTGCTGGGAGGCCACAGCCACTCTAGCTGTATGTCCTCAGGTTCCCAGGAAGTCCCAGAATCTCCTGGGAGTCCAGAGAAGGTACACCCTTTTGATCTAATACTACAAAAGATCCATTTTATATAATGTGCAGACTATAAATGTGTGAAGACTGCACTTCACTCTCCATCTTGAATTATAATTCAAGTCCCTGGGGCAGCCTAAGAGAAGCATTTCAAGTTTTTCTAGCCAAATGGCTTCTGGTTGTGACTGTTTTGTTTTTGTATGTTATACAGCATTAAAAACCTCCATGCCAAAATCATAGAGAAGGATGCCATGATTAAGGTCCTTCAGCAACGATCACGTAAAGATGCCGGGAAGACGGACTCCTCCAGCCTGCGACCTGCCCGCTCCGTCCCTTCCATCGCCGCGGCCACCGGGACACACTCTCGCCAGACCTCTCTTACCAGCAGCCAGTTAGCTGAGGAGAAGAAGGAAGAGAGGACCTGGAAGGGAAGCATAGGTGAGCCCCACGCCTCCTTCAGGCTAGGGTCTGGAAAGCAAGCGCTGCCCAAACACTGAGAGGCGACCTCATCTGGTGCAAAGAGCCCTGACACTTCTGAGGTGTCTGGCTCTGCCGCTCATGGAACGCAGAAATGGCACTCAATATCTCCAAGTCTGTTTACTCATGTGTGAAATCGGGAGGATAATCACTCATACTTTGGATGTGGAAATTAAATGAAGTGTGTGGAAGCCAAGGCTATGTACCATCAGAGGAGCTGTTAGCCATGGGTTGACTCACATAATCATTACCATTGTTGTTGAAAGTTGAGGTGACCCTTACAACATAAAATGTTCTAATGGGAAAAGCCTGGAGACGTCAGGCCTCTGAACTTGGCTGTGCCCCAGACCAGTTGTAAGACTGTTGCACCTCTGTTTCTGTGCCTAGAAAAGCAGGGCAACGTCTGCCCTGTTATCTCATGGGGCCGTGGTAAGGGCAAAATGAGATAATGAGGAGAAAGCACTTTGGAATATGTGTGCTCGAGCATTGGAGGTTGGTGGTGGTGGTCCTGGTTGTATTGTTGCACAGGCAGAATTTTGAGGCGAATTCTGCAGATACGGTCTTACCAGCCGGCTGATGGGGCTGGCGGAGCCTGGAGAGGAAGCAGGCAGCGCCGCCCAGCACGCAGGCCGCATTCCCAGACACGAGTCCTCCGCTTTCTTCCCCTGCACTCTGGCCACTCCAGGGGTCTGGCCCTCCTTTGATGCATTTCCCCGGGTCAGAGTGTGTTTTGTTTATCTGTGGAGCCCAGAGCCAGTTTTTTGTCAGCGCAGAACCCCAGAGGAGCCTGGCTGCTCTGTGCCAAAGGGGATAAGAGCTTCCAGTATGAACCTGACAGAGTTGGGGGGATCAAAGGCACCCAGCCAGAATCTCTGTTTGAAGTCCCTCCACAGGTCGCCTCAGCAGTCCCTGCCCTCCAAGGAAATGTACTTCAAAGAGGACATGTGTGGACAGCAGCTGGGATCATCAAAGACCCTCCCAAGGACATTTAGCTCCCCTCCCCAGTTAGAGAGCCTGGGAGGCGATGTGGAGACAGGCCTGGTAAAGGAGTCTGAAATGTGCTGGGGCCAGCTTGTGACATCCAGCCAGGCAGGCATTTCTCTGGTGTCTATGCCTGTATCCTATTAGCATTTGCATGTCTGCCCCAGGCCTGGGAGCCTGAAGACCCGGTGTGTAGGGAGAATTGCTGTGTTCTCTGCGCTGTTATTCCTCCCATTATTGTCATTGTAATCAGTGTCCATATGTCACAAAAACAGAGGGGCTCTCTGAGGGGCCCGGCAGAGGCGCACATTCACAGGCCACTTCATAATCCCCAGAATGTTTCCAATCTCTTGCCTGATGTCTCTGGAAAGAGGTAGAGGTGACATTTGTCTACATTCCTGGTGGCTCAGGGTCTCCTAGGTGAGATGACAAGCTAGTGACTTGGTTCCACAAGAACATTCTTGTCAGACTGTGGAGTTTTGACAGGTAGCTGATTAGGCGGGGTGAACACAGGTTGGACTTAAAGTCAGGCACAGCTGGGTTTGAATCTCATTTCAGCTACTTGTTAGCTGTGAGGTGTTCATTTCTCTGAGGTTCCATTTCCTTTTCTGTAAAACAGAGGATGACAACAGGACCTGTCTCATCAGACTGTTGGAAAATATAAAGTGAGATGATGTGTGTGAAGCCCCCAGCCAAAGACCCTGGCACCTCGAAGTGTGGTCCACGGACCCACAGCAGGGACATCAGCTGGGAGCTTGTTACAGAGGCAGAGCCTCAGGCCCCACCCACCGAATCACATCTTCCTTTTAACAGTGGATCCAAGTAACTGACAGGCACATTGCATTTGAGAAGCACTGCTGTAGACGAACTGAAATGCTCTGTGTTGAGTTATGAATGGGCACCTTGAAACAGCCCTGGTGAGGATACTTTATGAATTGCTGGCTACTTAAGCAACATGAACAAATAGTTGATTGTACTCACCACGTTTTCTATAGGCTAGTGTTCTGGAGGGCTGGCCGTTTTCTGAATGTGTGCCAAATTTCACTATTTGTTACAAAAATAAAGTTGCCCTCCTGTGCAGCTTTGTAGGAAGACATTGAGGAAAGGGGCAGCACTGCCCATCACGCCTCCCTTTCCTCTCCTCCAACAGCCTCCCTGCTCCCGGGGTGAGGGGGAGCACGTGGTTAAGTGGCCCTTTCCAGGAGCCCAGCTGGCTTCCTGCTTCTTGAGGACATGACTGTCCTCTGCAGGGGTCTCTTTTGGGGAATAATGAGAGCAACTCAGTGTTCTGACCTGGAAGCATGTTTGTTTTTGAACCCGGGCCTGCGGGAGACTATCCCCTAACCAGAGTGGGGAGGAATTGTGGGCCATTCCGAAGCGCAGCGGGCCAGTGGGACCATGTCTAGGACCGGGGAAGCCTTCGGTTTTTCTTCAGCACACAACCACTGCTCAAGGCCAGCCCTCCTGGGCCAATTGGGTAAAGCAAGCATCGTCTCTAGAAGCCTCGCAGAAATGCTCCCACCCCTCAGCACTGGTTATTGGGCACCTCCTACCATTCTGAGAATAATTTTATCCTGCTAGTTACCATATTTTAACCAGTTTACTTGACAACTGCTCTTCCCGTTAATCAATCAATCAATCAATCAAACTATAAATTTTTAGGGAGGGGACTAGGTCTTTCTTCTTTGTTTTTAAAATTTCCTCAGTGCTTGTCAGTGTATCCTGCACATAGCAAGTGCTTATAAATGCATTTGGTGAATGACTCAGTGAACGAATGAAGTAGTCCTCAGCCCAAGGAGGAAATGATCTTTAAGAGGAGGATGTTTTGTTTTGTTTTTGAAGAGCGGTGTTGAAAAAGCTGTGTTTCTGCCCTCAGGGCTGCTGCTTGGGAAAGAGCACCTTGAACGCGCACCCACCCCCCTGCTCCCCACGCCCCCTGCAGCCGCACTGCCCTCCACACCGGCCGGCAGCGCCCACGCTAAGACGGGCAGCAAGGACAGCAGCACCCAGACGGACAAGGGCGCCGAGCTCTTCTGGCCCAGCACGGCCTCCCTGCCCAGCCGCGGCAGGCTGAGTGCAACCCCTTCCAACAGCCCGGTCCTGAAACACCCAGCGGCCAAAGGGACTGCAGAGAAACTGGGTAAGACGTTCCCACCTCCTTTCACACTGTGGAAAGCCGTAGGGTTCTCTGGGCTGAGAGAGGGAGCCTGTTGCTAAGCAGAGCAGGGAACAGGGGCCCAATCAGCTCTCGCATTATGGGTCTCCCCTCCCCTCCCCTCTTCTTTTCTTTTCTGATGATGGTGACCTCTAATACACTTAGGCTATGTGGGCTCTTATGGGACTAAAATGTATATAGACACTCCTAACCTCCTAATTTATTACCACTTAAAGGAGTACGCCACTTGCCCTTTGAATATATGTTTTATAACCAGCCCTTCCCCAGAAGGGGTGGAAATAGAGGTTCCCCAAGGATGTTGGGGAGCTAGTACCAGGCACCAGGTACATCAGAGCCAGGGGGTACATAGACAGTGGTCTTCAAGGTGCTTCCTTGTCAAGGATTCAGGGGCGGGAGTGCCTCCTGACTGAAGGAGAAGGCAGATTTAACCGCAGAGAAGGGGAACTTGTAGCACAGCACTCAGGCCAGAACTAATGAGTCGCTTTAAAACATTTAAGAGACGACAGCTTGAGAGGAGTGAGTTTTTGATGAGTCCAGAAGCGTTCAGGACAAAGAATAGATTTGGCTTTGTCATAGAGACCAATCTCACTCGTGGGGATAGCCCTCTTCAGGAATTCTTTTGAGGAGCTGGGGATTATTGGGGGTGTAAAGTAACTGTTTCCTCCAAGGGAGTACTTTATTTTCATCTAACAAAATAGACAAGTAAATACAGCATTGTCATTTTGTTGAGATTTGATTCCTAGAACACACTTTTCCAAGGAAAGCAGGGAACCGTGTATATAGTACCTGGCTCCACCATGGGCCGGATTATGTGGCCTTCCCAACATACACAGGTGATGGGTGGTGGTGTTGGAAATGGTTCCAACTTAGAGAGAACTGGTAAGACCCATGCCCCTCCCAAGGAACAGACTGCTGATGTTACCCTTCTGTTTGGCAGAGAGCTCACCTGGCCACGGGAAGTCACCTGACCACAAAGGCCGAGTCAGCAGCTTGCTTCACAAGCCCGAGTTCCCTGACGGGGAGATGATGGAAGTTCTCATCTAATGCTGGCATCCCTGCTGAATCTTATAACGGGACATTGACAAGCAAACAAGGAACGTGGCAAAGAGGGAGAAGAAAGATCAAGAAAGTTGTGGATGGAAAATCAAGAATGACTTGAACTGATAAAGATTTCAGATTAGTAAGAACATTTTTTATAAATGTTTTAAAAAAAAAAATCAGTAGACCTACATGAGTGAAGATGAAGAGAAGGCTATGGATTTTTATCACATATGGTGTCAGAGAGATGATGCATGTAGGTTTGGAAACAAACAAGAAATAGGAAATGGAATTTTTCATTGTACAGAAAATGTATCTTGTTGGGAAGGTATGTGTGTACTCATTCTCTGGTTATAAACAGATAAACCTGAACGTGGCTCATCCTTGGAATACCCCCATTCTCCTTGCCTCTTAGCATCTTTTGTTTAAGAAGAGCCTCCTAGAAATATTGGAGAGGTCATCTGCTGGGCATCATGTGCCATCCATGGGGTGTCCTGTGAAAGGGTGTGGGTGTGACAATGAGAAGAAATATCCAGGGGTGACGAGGAATTTGAAACACAGTCCTCAGCTAATGACCTGCTTGATTTGGATTTTCAGGGGACTGTGGGGATTCAGCAGTATTTTCTATACAGGATGGGAACACTGATTTGGCACTCATCCTCCCGAACTTCCCCGACTTCATTTCTATCTCTGTTTCATCCTCTTTAACTTTACTTTTTTTTTTCCTTCATCCTTTTTTTTTTTTCTTTTTTCTTTTTAAATAAGACATGGCATGATAGGTCTGGGATTTATTAGAGCAGCATCTGAACTATCACCATTCCTGCCGTGTTTAATAGCGACCAGTGGGACAACGCCGTAGGCTGGCCCCCAGCTGCCTCCTCTACCCTTGAGTAGTGGGGCTGCAGCTGCTAATGGCATTCTGACTGTGAACTGGGTAAGCTTTGATGAGGTAGACGACCCATGGTCAGTGTGACACTTTCGTGACGATCACAGCCGATCACAGCCCTGGCTTTTTTCTCTCTCACATCAGCGCTCTTGCACGGAGCCTGGTATTTCCACCCCGTCGCTCTGCTGGGGTAAGACTTCCAGGACGGCACACCAGGAAACAAACGACACTTGGCTTGGCGGCCTCCCGTCTCTCAGCAGGCACCTTGCACACATTCTAGTACGTGTGGCTCACAAGCACGTTCCCCCGTCCCCTCGCCCCCTCGCGCTCTTCTGGTCGCTGCTGGTGAGCACGCAGATGGCGGTGACTGTCGGCACACGTGTGTGCTAACACATCCATTTTTCTCCGTCATGAACTTGCTTTGTAACCCAACAGGCCAGTGTACATCTAGTGTGGTCAGGTGTTTCTAGGTTTCAGTCTGGGGCAAGTTGTCCAAAGCAAGATGGAAATACCATGTTAGAGAGCTAGGAGTGAGTGAGGTCATGGGCCCTTATCCCTGTGTGTGACAGTTCATATCTAACTTCGCAGACCAGGCTTTTTTTTACAATCTAGGAGGTGCTGGATCAGAGCAGAGAAGCTGACCAGGCTGTCAGATGTTCTAGCAAGATCCAAGTCTCACCTCAGTGAAGCCCCGGACACAACACTGCTCAGGAAATTTGGCTTGCGTAGCTTATTTGAGGGTTGGTCTTTGGAGCATAACCTGGGTGGAGTTACAGCCTCTCTACACTGAGGAGATAGAAGGATGACAGAGGTGACAGCTAGAGAAGGGGAGGGAGGAAACCAATGGCTTTGTCCAAAGGGGCCTCAGAGCTGTCCAGTGTGACTGAGGAAGCAGGAAGTGACTCTTCTCAGGCCCTGCTCTGTGGTGGCACTGAGCTCCGTGCTTCGTGCTTGTCGCCTCCTTCAGTCACAGGTGTAGCCTGGGAAACTGGAGGGGTTCCAGAGTCCGAGGACCTCGCTGAATGCCCTGGGGTGTGAGAGGGAGCACATAAGTCCTGTTAATGAGGAAAGTGTTCATATGGATGCAGAGGGTTCCCATCACTTTTTATGGGTGGTGAGGTTCAATAGAGGGCAACTGATTCTCTTAAGGACGCTTTGAACCCTGATTAGTGTTGGGTGTATACCAGGAAGTAAAAAAAGTTTCTAGAACTAGGAGAGCAAGTCACCTCTGCCAGCCGCACACCCCCCCACCCGCCCATGTCTGGGCCACCAAACTTGGGCAGTCTCCCCTAGAAGAGGGTGAGAGCAAGAGCCACAGCCTGATTTCCCCCAGACCTCATCTTTGCGCTCCAGCACACCTCACTGGCACCAGGCTGGCATGCTCTCTTCGGTCCCCTGAGTTGCGAGGCATGTTAATTGTTAGAATGCAAGCATGCACACCACCACATTTCAGTTGTGCTGTGATCTTTGTCATCTTGCTTGCTTCTAACCTGCTAAGACTCTTCCATAAGAAAAGGGGTCTATAGCTTTAAAAAGTCTCCTTTATGGGAGATTTCCTGAGGTGCCAGGGCCCCTGTCACTTTGCATCTTCACAGCATTTTTGAAGCCTTGCTTGCATGTAAGAGAAAGGGATTGCTGATACTGAGCACCCACTCTGCTGTGTTCTGGGCAGTTTATAAGGTATTATCTCATTTGATTTTCAGAAAACTAATAGTAGCTCTATTTTTTAGTGCTGACTGTATGCAAGCACTGTGGTAAGTACCTTTTAATGCGTCCTCAAGCCACCTGGGAGCAGGGGCGAGTTTTATCCTTATTTCACTGAAGGAAACTGGGGCTCAGCGAGGTTAAGTCCCTTCCCAACACCTGCCAGCCAGGAGAAGCTGGGATCTGAACCAAGGGTTTGGAGAGGCGCTGGGCCATTGTCACAGGCTGGACTGCTTCTGACATAGGGACAAGAACTATCTGTGGGTTCCACGTCTTGGCCCGCTCTATCCCGTCTCTGATGTGTGCATGTGCACACACACAGCTGCCCTGCTCTCGGGAGCTAAGAAATAGGACTAAAGCCCAGAGCTCCCTAGATTTGCCCATAAACACCAGGCAGAGATGGAGATCTTTGTGTCCGATTATAAGACGGACAACAACGTCCATGTAAAACCTACTGGCATATTGTCCAGAGGCCTAGAGTTCTTCAGAACTTCCCAGTGTTGTCTTCATGATGGAGCTGGCAGGTCCTCTTTCGGCGTGAAGGGCAAAGGCTTTGACTTTGTGAGAAGACAGGCCAGGGTAATTCTGCTTCGTCCTTGAATGTGTTGTCTGGCAGCTTTATTATATGCTGCCCAGCATTTATTATATGGACTAGGGGGCGTTGCTGGATTCCAGCAACTAATTCCAGAACATGTACAGAATCTTTGCTTAGCATTTTCTTCCCTCAGCTTTTCTCCTGCTTCCCAGAGGTTGGTAGCCAGTGATGGTGTCGAGTTCCACGTGTTCTGAGCAGGCACACAGGACAGGGCTGCCGCGTTCATCCCAGGGCCCTGGTTAGAGGGCAGAGAGTGGCGGGGGCCTTCTCTCTTCAGTCCTGCCGGGCTTGCTCTTTGGAGCTCAAGTGTGAATTGGACTGTGCAGGGCTTGGGTTGGATATCGAGACAGTTGCTCCAAATGTGTTCTGAACCTGGAACAGAGAATTCAGTTGTTCTGATCCTCAGGGAAGAGGCTGTCGGGATGCCTCCTCCCCAACCCCAAGAAGCCAGTCACCTCTCCCGGCCTTGCCTTTAGCCACCATGAGGCAGTGGCTGAGGCACTGTTATGCCGAGTGCTGATGGAATGGGAAGTTCTCCCTGTGCAGCTGCCTTCTGAGTCCTGCAGATCAATGTGAGCACAGGCATCAGCCTGGGTGCCCAGAAGGAGCGAAGAATAGATTGGGGGTTTAAAAGGTTTCGAGGCAGAGAGCTCACGCTTATGCTGTGGGGAGCTATGCTGGGCAAAGAAATGTATTTTCCAAAAACAAAGTCCTGCTCCATGTCTGCACTGGCACCAGTGGGGCGTGTCTATGTGTACTCCGAATGACCTTGCGCTCCTTAAGCACAGGAGACCCATGGTCATAAGTGGGAGCCCACGAGTGTTCTTAACCAGTAGTGGCTTTAAGTAGCCAGAGAGCATCCAGCCCACAATCGGCTTCTTCACATCCCCAAACCTAAGGCAGCCGTGGTGTATGCTTTATAAATGTTGGTTTTCTTTTCTCTTTTCTTGTTAATTAATCAGTGTGTTTAAAATGTCTTCATTCAGCATGAGGATTGTTTAATGGGTTTGCCTCTGATGTGTGGCTCCGTGGGAGATGGGCAAAGTAATTAAGACGTTACCAGAAGCTGATGAGCTGGGAGCAGGTAAAAGTCAGCATTTCGGTAAATGGATGTCTTCTGGAACCAATGAGGATTTTTTTTCTCCTCCTTTTCAGTAGTATACCTTTTTCTCATTTAATAATTTAATGGTATATAAAGTCATGTGTATATGTAAGTGCATACATGTGAGGTGTGACTCTAAGGTTGTATGTCGAGTTTCTTTTCTTAATATCCAGAAGATCCAAGTGTTTCATCTCACCCCACCTTCCTTAAAAGGTGACCCTTTGGGAGACTCTATATTGATCATGGCAGCACTGCCCAAGTAGAAACATTTTGCGAACAGCTCTACTGGAATGACCTTTGGGGACTAGCACCTTCCTTTGATTATCTTTAGAGATGAGAAATCTTCATCCTTTGAGGATGCAATTAAGTTTGGAAATGATCCCAAGTCATTCGCTCAATTGGATAAATAAAGATGTGTGATTAAGGTAAGTCACACCATTTTAGCTTTAAAAAACAAAAAACCCTAAGATGTTTCTTAGAATGAGTCTTTGGACTCCTAGAGCCTCTCAAAGTGACAACTTCTAAGGAGGACATTTGTCATTAGTACATGTAACTTCTAGTGGATTCGTTATGAAAAGCCTTCTCTCACCATGCCATGTATGTGTTCACATCTCTGCATACACACAGATGTAGGTGTGTATTAGTATAAACCACCTGTAGGTGCCCTGTAAAGCCGCGTTATCCTTAGTGCATGTTATTGTCATGTTATGCCCTGACTGAGGTGTTTGTCATGAAATTTGCTTCTCTACAGAATTAAAATATTGTTCTCAATATAATGAAGTATATATACGGCATTTTCTTGTTAATCAGCTCCCAAAGTTTTGCTGCCCAGTGGTGTGTTTACATGTGGTTTTGCCTGAGATTCTGTTCACATATAGACACCTGTAAGTATTTATTACAAAACAGAATGTAAGCAAAGTTACCCACAGTGGTTTTCTCTGAATTAAGGTATTTTTCCCTTTTGTGGAGGGACGGTGGAACCTCCTCAATGAGGCACTTACAGAATCTGTGAAATTCTGTGAAGCAAGGGCACCCGCCCGCACCAACCTCAGCCAAAGCGAGGACAGCCCTCGAGCCGATGTGTATATATGTGTCCGTGTGTGTGTGTGTGTGTGTGTGTGTGTGTGTGTGTGTGTGTGTGTGTGTGTGTGTGCTTGGTGGCAGCGTGCTGTGTGCTCTCCAGCAGACTGGTATAACATTTTGGCATCTTCGTCTTGCTGGCCTGTATTGAAGGGGGATGTACAGAGCTGTCCAGCCAGATGGGTCTGTGTGCAGAGTCGGGGGAAGAATCAAGAACGTGGCGTGTTCCCTGTAGCAAATATCAATACTGTTGGTCAGCCAAAGATTTTCCTATTCTTCGCTGCTTAAATTTGTGCCTTAATATTGTATATAATAAATGGATAAAATAGCTCTTCTTTCCCTCACGTTTGCTCTTTTCTTTCCCAAAGGACTTATATACTGAGTGCTCAATAAATGTTGGTTGAACTTTGTTTCATTTTATTGCTCGGAGGCAACCTCACTTGCAGTTTTGCTTCCAGAGTCATCCAGTCTCCCCGCTTGTGGGCCTCGCTTACACCAACACAGGCTCTTAATTTTGAGGAGGTGAGTCACCCGGACCACTGGAGCTTGCTGTCCACCCACTCCTGGTTCCTCCAGACAGATACGGAAAGAGGAACTGCAGGGAGGCTGGGCCCCAGGAGACAGCATCACTTTGATCTCATCTGAGTGTCCTCTTTTGGGATTCCTGGGTTCAGAGCCTGCCAGTGACCGTTGTCACTCAGGAATTAACCCAACCAGCCTAGGCCCAGAGTCAGACGTGCACCCCAGGAGGGACATGGGAGATGCAGTTTTCTTGTTAGTGTCTTAGGGTCACAGGAAAGTGGGGAGGCTTTGGCATAAAGGCGTCACATGGTAAACTGGTCAAATTCAGGTGGGAGCCTCAGTGACGGAAGCAGCAGAGCAGAATAAACCCTGTGACAGCCCCTAGTGAAGGCTCCTCCCAAGGAAAGGGACCCCCCAAGGGGAACTGTTGGGGACGAGGAGGTGCCATCTTTATTCTCTGGTCATCCCTCTTTCAGTAGAAGCCTCCCTCCCCACAAACTCCTGGACCTAGCATGGGGATAGCTTCCTAAGTGTGAGCCCAGGGAGAGATAGGAGTGCACACCTTTAGTCTCCCAGGAATGGCTGGTGTGATTTACATGCATTACATCCTTCAGTCTTCACAATAGCCTAGTCATTCCCACTTTAAAGACAAGGAAACTGAGGTTCATACAACTCTGGGCAAGTAAAGTGCTAAAGATGGCAAAGCGGTATTTGAAGCTAGTCTACCTGACGCAGAGCTCATGTACTTATTATAGTGGAAGGTGGGTAGGTGCTGGAGGCAGCAGAGCTCAAGCTCCTATCTGCTCGGGTTTTTATCTGTCCTGCCTTCTACCCAAAGAAATTCTCTACAGCAGCGGTTCTCAACCTTCCTAATGCCGCGACCCCTTAATTCAGTTCCTCATGTTGTGGTGACCCCCAACCATAAAATTATTTTCATTGCTACTCTATAACTGTAATTTTGCTACTGT